TATAAACAATCCACTTACGGTTTTCTGTTATAAAAATTGTACATTTTATTTTTATTTATAAACTTTAAAATGTTAACCGATGATTATACTATTTTTCTCAGTTGAAAATAATAATTAATGAACTTGTAGCTACAACAAGATACCCGCGGTACCTACTTGAAACAGAAGCAATTGATTTACTGCAGAAGAGTACCTACTAAATGCTTCAACTCTGAATTACCGACTACAGTACAGTATTTTCTTGTTTTTGTATTATTTACTGGTGAAAATTTTATTGGTGAATTTTTGATGGAAATACGTACCTACGTAATACGGTAAGTATTTCTCAGTGTAATTAATGCATTCTCGATAAAAGTTTATTATTTTTTATTGAATCATGTTTACAATTTGAACCATTAAATATTATATCGATAACTATGATACATTGTTTATATCATTATTTAATATGAATTAGTAAATAGTTTTGAATCTATCTTTTGAAATCGTTGACCATTTGATTGGGCTTGGTTTATAACTAAATGCATATCAAACAATGAGCTTATAAATATTGCATAGTGTAACTTTTAGGTATTGTTAACATTTTTTTCTATTGTCTTATTTTGATGTTAGTTTATGGTAGGTACCAACATATTTAATATTTATGCTATACATATTTTACTTTACGAAGACAGTATAGTTTTTTATTCACTGTAAGAAAACTACCACAAATGTAAAAAAAAAAATATCGTTATGAATTGATTATACAAGCTTATAACATAGATACAAGGTTGATATCTGCAATAATTACTAGGATATATTATTTTCTAAGATCTTGAAGTTTATGAACATTGAAAATAATCTATGTGGATTTGTTTGAGATATTGTTTGTAATTATATCCTATATACTTTATATTCGAAATAATATAATAGTCATAAATTGTTAGTTATTATTATTATTTTAAAGTTAAGATTTAAATAATACAGTATAGGTGTCAGTGCCGGCTCAAGGATTTGCGGGGCCTGGTGCGAAATAATTTTTTTTATGAAAGAGTTCTCTTCTTGAACACTTAACAAAATATACAAAATGGCTATTGGCACACGATTCGGTCAATAGTAGGGCCCCTTAATAATGGTTTAAATAAATGTATATACAATAAAAATGTGTATATATAATAAATGTATGTATAATAAATGTATATGTATATATATGAATAAGTGTCTCCGATTTCATGAATTTGTAACACTTACTGGACTACCGATTGTGTAGTGTATTATATCATGTTTAATTGTATAGTTTAATTATAAATAATAATAATAATAATAATACATTTTTCTTCCGATTGACCGATTGTGTAAGTGTATTATAATATCATATTTAATTGTATGATTAAATTATGCATAATAATAACAATAATTAATTTTTATACCAAAAAATTACATTTTGTTGATTCCAAAATAAAAATAATATTCGAACATTTAAATTTTTTAACAGATAACATTTGAACACTTTTAATTCAGACACACTCATTCACACATAATATTCGAACATTTAAATTTTCTAATATATAAAATTCGAACACTTTTCATTCGTACACATAATTTTCGAAGAAACAATGACAATCAAAATGTCAGTTTTACATAGACAGGCAGTCTTCTTAACTATACACATTCCCACCAAGTATTTTTCACGAATTTATATTGATTTACACCAAGATCACGAAACTTGACAAAAAAATGTTGTGATAGCAATAATAATAAATATGAATAGGTACCTATCAATTCAGAATAATAAGACACTCAAATCTACTATATAATAAATTGTCAAATAAAATAAATAATATAATATAACATATATTATAATTATATAGAAATTAATAGTCTAATAATAAAAATAATTACTTACGTAATAAGTGTTCGCAGTTCGCTAGTGGCAATAACGTCGAGGGTTCTCAAAATAAAATAATAATGGTACCATATTATCAAGTCCCTGCATGAAGTAAAATACGGTGACGGTGTAGACATACAAATTATAAATTACGAAGAAAATAAGCTGATAATTAACTGTACTTATATTTATAGATCAACCTATTCTATCCATGTAACTCAATAATGTAAGAAAATCAGTATTATCACTTACAGAGAAAAACAGTTTTTATGAGAAACTATTGATTAGGTATTAACTACGCATCACCGTAGAATATCGGACGCCACTGCATTCAGTAGGTTTAATAAACATAATAATAGGTAGATACTCAAACTCAACAATACTTTTAATAAATTAATGAAAGTAAATAGTCCGATAGCCATTATTAACTATAATCATTAAGTATTAAGCATTGATTTGATTATAAATACTAAAGTAGTACCACACAGTAATTAATATCAATATACATTTATAAACTTTAAATTATTGTTGCTCAAGTATTAAGTAATTTTGATAAGGTAAAGGTGCAAAGCGAGGGGCCTGGTGCAGGGGCACACCTCGCCTCCCCTTAGGCTGGCCCTGATAGGTGTTTTAATTTTTAATTGAGTTTAAATAATAATATGTTCATTATTTTTAAACAAATACCTATATAAATAATAAATAATTTTTATCAAACAATAAATTATCATTATTCTAGTCATAACTAATTTCATCTTAAATATAAATGTTATAAAATCAAAAAAAACTAGAAACTATATCACTGTATTTATGATCCAATTTTCTATAAATAAAGCTAATAAACTTCAGTGAAATAGCTCAAAATTGTTAGTATAACTTCGAAATTTGAAGTTTTTCAATCCAGAAAGTAGCCTCAGGGATTTATCGACTTTTAAAAACTTTTATCCGTGTCGTATACCTACAGTAATCCCGTGCTCTTTTATATTGAAGCTCTAACAAAAACTACTATATTTATTGTTTTATTTTTCATCTCCATCTACACTCACTCTTATTTTTTACCCCCTGGAGTAAGGAAAACTTATAAAATCGAAATTGGATTAGGTACTGTAAGCGGCCACCGATGACAATATAAACCGATCTGTACTTAGAATAGGTAGAAAATATATGTAACATCTATCGGAAAACTATTGAATTGATTTCATAATTCAACCATTCATCATTGTCAAAATGTTAAACAGAAAAAATAAAACATTTATCTGTTATCCAATGAAAAAGTACGTTAAAAAAATACTTGTTGCTATTGTAATGGTAATAATATTATTTAACCCTTAAAAAATGATAAGAGGATAATCAAAATGACAAGGGGATTCTTTTTCTTTGGGTATCTTCAATCCAACATTTTTGAGAAAATGTTTTTTCTCATTTCTATGCCAGTTACCTGCCAACTACTGAATAAAGTTTGATGGTTCATAGTACAAATATAGCATATTTTGAGATGATTATTTATATATATCTTATATAATTATGACACGATGTTTAGTTGAGGAACCTTAAACCTATAAGAACTTAAAAATATTCGTTTTTCTTATTTGTGTGATTTTGACACGAAGTTTGATAATTTATTTGCTGCGTTACCACTTACAAATGTAAAGACAAACAACTTATAACTTTATTCCAAAGAATTAAATGTTTGTGAATTTCGTATATTGTACATTTTCAACTTAGTAGATACCTATATATATGTATATATATATACATATAAATCTATATATAATATATAATATGGGGGACGGAGGGGCCGAGTGGACTAAGGCGTCGGTTGCGACGCTCACCGACGCCGGTTCAAACCCGGCCACGGGCTGCATTTTCTTCTCGCAGTAACGGTGTCCGGAGAGAGAGGCCGCCATCCCCCACCTGGGCATGACAGATACCTAGGGGTGCCCACTTAAAAATTCTGGCAAAACAAACACACACGTGTTCAAAACCTACAGTACGCTCCTCCACAGTTCCATAGGCTAATGACCTCAGTTATTGACCCCCCCCCCAAAAAAAAATATATATATAATATATAAAGATGATAACAAAGAGAAAATAATATATTTTCATCAGTTTTATGGCAATATGTACCTATTCAAATAAAAGTATCAAAGTAAATTAAACTAGGATTATATTAGTTATAATTTACATTAGACTAATTAAATTAGAATTGATTAAATCTAAATGTATCTTAAAGAAGAAATATTAATAAAAGTCTATTAAATAGAATATTAATATTTAAACATGTAAACCTTTGTTCTTAATATTGTTTTGTCATATTAATTTAATTGCCTCGATTTCGAAGCCAAGTTTATATTCATTATGCCTTAACAAATAAAATTACTTTCTTAAAACGTTATTTAAATAAATATCTAGATGATATTTTTACTTTACTTAAAGCAATTCCAACCAGACTTTAAGCAGAACTGACAAGGAATAATAAGGATGGTACGCATAATATACAATATATATATATACATATTTAAAAAACAACAATTTGAAATAAAATAAATACACTTCAAATATTTATTTGTTATAAAATTAAATGTGAGTAACATTTCAATAAATATTTGAACGTGATTTACTTTCATTAAATTACAAATTACATTTAATTTGGCTATATTGAATAAATAAACTAGTTACTATTTCTTAGGTACATTATAAATTATAATACCAATAGGTAGTAGGTATTATAATATACTGTCATACAATATAAATGATAAATAATTAATTATCACAAATATTTCCATCTTGTTGAAAGAAATTATAAATCTTGTTGTTTAAAATAACGTAGGTGTAGGTACCAGAAATAAATCTAAACGTTTTTTTTTTTTTGAAATTTTATATTTAGTATTTAATTATGTATGAATAATTAATTATAGTGTAATGTATATTTTATAAAATAATACTATTCTCTAAACTACTATAAAAAAAAAAAATAATATGTATATGTTTAAAACAAAAAATGTATAGTTACAACTTACAACTTGTGCGGATATAAAGTTTATTAAACAGTTTTGATAAAATAACAAGATAACATACAATTTCACATATTAAGTTAAATGAAGGAGCCAAAATAATTGGATAACAATTTTTACCGTTTTCACGAAGTATTTAGTAAAAACAATGTTGATGTTAATGTTATTAATGTTAATTTAAAGTTGAATGTTATGCACATCGCTACTGCTGATCCACGTACTAAAATCAAACATACAAAACGAGATTAAATAAACAATTAAAATGTTTTTTCTTCAATTATAAATAATTTTCATTTTTTGACCACCATTTTAGAAATACAAATCATTTTTAAATCCCTATTATTAGTTGTATTTATATTCAGGGATTTACAAACATTTTATTAATTTTAAGTTTGGTATACTACAAGAAAAAAATCTGTATAAAATACTATTTTGGATTAATTTATACAATTGTGTTAATGCTCGTTAAGTATACGTTATAAAAATACAAGAAAATAAAGAAAGTACAATGTAAAACGCTTAACACTTAGGTTAGTAATATTTTGTAATTTTTAAGAGCTTCTTTTATTTTTTTACACCATTACTATACTTTTTGCATTATTTTGTGAAGTAAAAGTAGAGAATTTATTAATGTTAGTGAAAGCCGAAAGTACATTTATCTGTACAAATTAAATTAAAATTTATGCATGCAATTTTACATTAATAATTATTAAATAAAACAAGTACAAAAAGGACAAAGAAAGGGTAATAGGTATATAAAAACATGCAAATATAGATAATTTACATGTTTTTTTCTAGGGGTTCACACTGTTATTTTTGGAACGCGTTGTCCTCTCGTATAGTCGTATTATATACAATTATTTTTACTGAAGAACTCTTACTTAAAATACATGATAAAATTAGTTTTGTATATATCTACGTAATAGTGGAATACGCATGCACTATGAATATATTATGTATAGGTTCATTGAAAGAGATAACTAAAGAAATATAGTTAATTTTAGTTGAGTAAAATGTCAAAACAATGATGTAAAGGTACAACTCGTTTTAGAATAATATATTATAGTACATAATTTTTTATTTTGGTGCAACTAATATAATTCATATTTAAATTTGGTATCAATTTGTAAAAAATAATACACCCACATAAATAACCTACCTAGACAAATACAATATACACAAATAATTGTCCTACTATCCTGCGCATGTTAGGTAAGTTACTTATCTTAAATTATAACATTTTATTGTATTTATTGACTTATTGTTTTATTTGAAGCTCGTTTAAATAATATTTATATTTTAAGAAATAATAATATGTACTCTATTCGTTTATTTTCCATTCAAAAAAACTTCCGTTTTTTGTCAAAATATAATTTTATTATTTTCAATGTAATAAAAGTAGTGGTAGTCAACACCGTAACTACCCTAACTATTTAATAATATAATTTAGGAACTATATGCAGTATATTTTAATAGAAAATAATGAGTCAAATAAACTGTAACCTGCAGCTTTTGTATACAAATATAATAAATAACCGTAATAATAATTTTCTTTTCTGTTATGGACATAAACAGTTTCTTCTTTTCGTTATCATTGCCGATTTTATATTTTGTTTATGTGTGGTTAGAATAAATCAAAAATTACTTTCTTCAGGCTGGAGATAGAATTATTTAGTTGTGCATTCCTCAATTCCTGCTAGTTTTGATTATCTTGTATTGAAAAATAAAAAATAAATATGCCACTGTATACTTATATGCTTTGGAGAAAAAGGCGTTTTAGTAGGTATAAGACATAAGTACCTACTGGATAATTCTTGAACCCTTATTGATGTATTAAGAGGATATCGCGCACTATTTGTTTTCTCTTTCTGGCTCACCCGAAACATAGACAAAACGCATTTACGCAGAATCATTTTTTCTATATTTTTAAGTAATCTTAGAGTAAAATCACCCATTATAAAAAAGATAGATAATAATATTTTTAAGGGAATGACATATCGATTTGTCAAAATATTGTCTCAGAACAATTTAAACATAATTTTTCAATTTCCAAAAATTTTTGGTTTATTTTGAAAGACGAATACAAAGTCTAGTAACAATAAAATATAAAATCGATATGACATTCTCTCAAAAATATTATTTTATACCTTTTTTCTAATGGGTGAAATCACTCTAAGGTTACTTAAAAATATAAAAAAAATGTTAATGCGTTAGTGCGTTTTGTCTACGTTGAGCGTGGGTCAGAGGGAGAAAACAAATAGTGCGCTGACATCCTCTTAAGTGATGTCTGACTATGATAATATTACATAAATCAACAGCATATTTTTTTATTACATCATGTAGGTATAGGCTAGTCAACCTGATAAAGGACCAATCTTAATTTTATTTATTAGTGCTTACAATTGTCTATATGTAGAAAATTAGAATAAATTTAATTTGATAAAATTCTGAACTTCGATTTTAACCATATTATATTTACATTCAAATAATTATTTATAAATGGTCGGTAGTAGGTACATAGTATATAATTATTTTACAATTGAGTATTATTACCTACTTATTCATTTTAATAGTATTAATATAAATTATCTTAAATGTATTTATATTTCGTGTCGGTGCACTATTTATTTTTTATAATTTTGAATTTTGTAACGATAACCCTCTCTCACAATTATAAATACGCCATTTGTTTATAGCGCTTATTATTAATAACAACCTAAAGCCTGCAAGTCTCCATATTGTTTTATAAAATAACTTAAGTTATATGTAATAACTGTAAGTTAAACTTAAAAAGTTAACCCTTTGAGTGCTGAATTAAAATGTAAACAATTTTTCTTTTGAATGCTACAGTAACCATATTTCAGAATTTCATGAAATATATACTATTTACATTTTACATACCATGTGCAACTTGAAATCATGTTCGTATATTTATCGATTGAAGTTCTTATAAATCATTACTGTCGTATATACATACTAACCGTAGACACACTCAGTGGCGTAGCCAGGATTATGATAATGAAAAGTTTTTTACAGTTTTCATATATAAATAATACATTTATTAGGGGAACACTGGACACACTCCATTTTATGACTGATGTCTGATATTATATTTTGTGGATAAAATGAATAGCTGTCATAGCCAAACAATATGAGGTACAGCTTTAGGTTAGTTGTCAATATATGCATTATATTGATATAGACTTATAGCTAATAGATAAAAGCTAGTCAATATATAGTATATGTATACCTACCTATTCAGAATTGTATGGTTTGCCTACTGATTCGTAAATTATAGTTTTAGATTAAATTAAAAGAATTATTAAACATAAATTTTAAAACTTGTATCACATTACAATATACATGGAAAATACAAATCTATCACCGAAATATGAAAACTCTGAGCTAATTTTTCTTATTTGCTAGAATTTGTATTTAAAATCTTTTAATTTTAGTATATTAATATGTCTTGTATTCATAATTTATATATTTAATAAATCCATTCTGTAAACTTTATTTTGAAAAATCTGTTCACATTTATAAAATTAATGTAGATCATTAACATTAATTGATTATAGAAATTACATAGGTACTTTAATTTATATTATGAAATACACGGTGTTTAAATGGAATTAGATAATTGATATTTGCACTCACCCAAGAGTATTGCTTCACGTTTGTATTCCTTAGGAGGTGGTAATGCCTTTGGACGACCTATATTGATGATGGCTTGACATGTAACTTTCATTAAGCCATTGTTGAAGTGATCAGGAGATATTGCTAAATTTAATTTGGATATGCTGATGTACAAACCGTTGTGTAATTTTTCCGAGCGGTCGTAATTGGAAATCACCTAATCAAAACATTTGTCATTTACGATAATAATAATCAAATATCAACTTTATATTATATCTATAATAATTATTAATCACACTTGAATAAAGAAGTTATTAAATTATATATATAGTTGATACATAATTATTTCATAATTTTTATTAATTCATCTACAATCATGAAAATTAAACATCTATTTTATTGAACATTTTTAAACTACACAAGTGTATTGGTAATTTATTTTAATTAATTCAAATATTTTACATTTTCTGATTCATAACATTAATTTCTTATATATTTGAATATTTGATGTTTTCATTATTTTGAACGGTTATTTATTTTTTTTTTTTAGAAAATATAATTTTAATATTAACCAATTATTTTTCATTACATCGTATATTGAAAAGTACAAGAGTTGTATTGAAAAGGTGGTAACAGAATTCACTCGGGATGATTAGTTTCTGGTTCTATATTTAAAAATGTTTTTTTTAACTAATCAGTACAACTAATTAGAATTACAAATATTCTATTTAATACACTAGAATTTAAAGTCACAATACATTTTTTATTATAACAGACTTCAATGAATAACTTTTAAAGGTTTTAAAATTCAAAACGAAAATGTACTCTGCTGTAAAAACTTTTTTCCATAAATATTAGTTTGAATACAACTCATTAATTAAGTGTTGCATAATTAGTTACATTATTGTAGGATTTAATAGTGTTTACTTATACATATATACATAGTTATAGTGTTACAAAAATTCAGTTTTATTGATATTTGTTATTTTGATTTATCATATTACTAAGTGTCAAAACAAATCTAACTCACCATTTTGTCATTAATAAACCATCGGAGTCTTGCAGCGGGAAATGATTCTCCCGATGTACAATTTAAATAAATAGTGTCACTAGTTTGATAAATTCCTGAGCCTCCATTGATTTTGGTAACATCTTTTTGTTTTGGTAAACCTAAAAGAAAGTTAATAATAATAAAATATTTTTTTAGAAGTTCAATATAGGTAGTAAAAAGTTTAATGATTTTACTTAATAATATACGGTAAGATTTTTTTTAATTAGTTCGTCAAACATTGGTTTATTATTAAGTACCTTATAAAAATCAGTAGGTAGGTACATTTAGTTTTGATTTATTACTTGGTAGTTAATTTAACAAACCATATCTGAATGTTTTGTATATTTAGTAATTTTATACAATTATTGACTTAGAATATGACATTACGGATAGGTATTTGCATAATATATATTTAATTATTGATTTTAATTGATATTTAATATAAATGTGACGTGAAGCTAAAATTGTATTCAAATTTTGAAACTAATTATTGTTTTGAAATAATATATTCGAGATATTAATTTAATCTTTTTATATTTATATTTTATTTTCCATCTAAAAATACAATTTGAATATTTGATGCTTTAATTTATCGTAAATAACAAACATTAAATGTTGAATATATTTTAATAAAACTTAAACATATTATTTTATACTTATTTATTAAGTGTTTGTTAGTGTCAAAGTCTTGAGGGCCCTCTTATAAAATTATGAGGCCTTTTTCGGGGTTCACTGTATCCTTAGCACCCCCGCTATTGTTGTGTCACTGCCTACTATGTAATTATAATGTGTCATTCACATTTTTTATGAATATGAACAACTATAATAATCTATTTTTAAGCTTTTCTAAAAAAAACATTGTTTCATAAAATTATATGAAAAAAGGCCACTCTAATGTTTGATATTTGTTGGTAAATGTTCATAAATGTGACTACAAAAATTTAAGTTTATTAATCTTAAGGCGAAGATGATTTTTTTGAACCACTGCCCTAGCCTAGATACGTGGTTTTAAGTGGATAATATAACAGCCATTAAGAGTGAAATGCATATTTTATAAATAATGAACTGGTCAATTATTTACATAATTTCTCTGTAATATTTTTGGAATTGTTTCATCGTTCATTCTCATTTGTTATCTTAGTACTACACACTCGTTGTCACGTGAATATATGACACAAACATTTACATACCTCATTGGTATTACAGTTAATAATAGAGGATATTTATATTTATCTATTATCAAATGTTTAGATTAGAATACTGAACAATAATATTGTACCACAGAGTCAGTGTGTAGTATTTTTTTGTTATTTTGAAATATTATACCATTTATAACGCTTTGTGGGTGTATAATAAGAATAATTGGTAAGTAAAAAAAGCTTCTTATGATTTGTTTCAAAATTAAAATAAAAAAAAATCTACCACGGTTAAGCGTGTTTTTAATTCTAATCTATAATAGTTTGCAACACCACCTAGATACCTAGGTGCTTTAATATTCGGTTATACGCGTGTTTAAAACGGGCTATATGAAATGTAATGTGTACTAGTAAAATACATATTTAATAATTTGTTTATATGCTTATGACAAGTTTACATTATTATGTTGTCTAAAATGTGTAAAAATATATATGTTCAACATTTTACAAGCTATTATGTAAACGACAATATCCTACACAACTCGTTACATAAAAAATGTATACTGAAAATGTACAAAAAAACAACCAAGTGGGGGTGGGAGTGTACCATGTGTGGCTTTAGTCAGGCAGGTAAACGGGATACACAATAAAGGTTTTGTTAAAGTGCAAAGTTACGTGTTTTTACTTAGTCATTTCGGACGTTTAGTAGTAGCGCGTATACATTCGTTTGTGAATGGGCTATTAAAATAATTGGGTAAGGGAAATCGACGTATTGTGCAGCGATGTTATGGCAGTGTAAGCCTGTGACCATTTTTCAAGGGGCCATCATAATAATAACAACGCTGTCAGGTCCCTATAGTAAGAAGGCGTCGCTGAAATACTTCGAGGACACACGATGTGTACACAGTGGTGAAGTACTAAAACATAATTAATATTAACGGCTCTATCCCGATGAGTTTTCTTCGAGACATTGATGTATTCGATTTTGCGTATAGCTTCCTTGTTTAAGGTGAAACCCTTTACTGGTTCTCATGATTAAGGCGATTGCAAACTGCAAAGCGTGTGCATTCTTGTTTTATAACCACGATTGTTATTATTTGTCAACACTACCTATAGATAGGTATCGTTGATTTTATGATAAAATTATATTATTCCATTCAGATTATTCTGATTTTTAAATTCATCTGTCTATTATATCTATAAAAAAAATCAGGTAAGTGGGATGTCTCTCTGATGTACAGTAGGTTACAAGTGGGTCGTTGTATAATGGATTGTATTAAACTTGAACTAAATAATATTCTATCATTGTATAAGAAAAACGATTCTGAGCGGAGACGGTTTGTCAGTCTGGATATTTTATATTATCATTAATTATTTTATCATGTAAGTTGAATTAATATTATATTATTATTATTTTTTATTCGTCTCTATGGTAATAAACAAAGTGTTAGAAACTAAAATCCAAATTTTAGCGGTTTTTCGTAATTTTTCAGTGGTTTTTACCGTGGCATTAAATAACTATTGATAAAATCGAAAAATTACCTCTCTAAAGTACCATCTTAATCCAATTTGTTAAAATATAATGTACTATATGTTGGAATCGAAGAACTCCTTCTGGTAGACATTTTGTATACAGGATATATAAAAAAAAAAATAAAAACCATTGTAAAACCACTAGCTTCCTCACTCCACTCAGAATCTAATATAAGATTTTAATTTAAAAAAAAAAACTCAATATTAGGTGAAATGTTTATTGATCGTCGTGTGCTCTTTTATTTATATGAAATAAATGGTACAAACAATATTTTTAATTCATTATAAGAAAACGATCTGATTTTAGAGACTTAAAAGTTTTTAATTATTTTTTAGTGAAAAGTTTTGTTGATAAGAGTTATTTCAATAACTGAACCTAACATTTAGTCCAGGTAATTAGTATAAATAATTTATATTTTTTTTTATTTTGATAATATTAAACTAATTCAGATTTAGATTCAAAATATATATTTTTTAAATATCCATACACTTTTCGTGTTTTATATTTTCTTATATGCAATATCTTGAATCAATATGTAAAAATATTCACTATGAAAACTGTCGTTATCTTGAGGGAAAATATAGAAAACAATTTGTGATTGATTGATGAAATATTATATTTAATAATTGTTTCATTTGTTTGGTAATTCAACCTGATAAACACCATTTATTATTATTTTTATTAATATTTAAAAATTATCGATAAACAATAAAATTAATGAATATTTAACAGTAGGTAGGTATTGGTATTAGCAAAGCCGAATAATCGACATTACATTTTATATAGTTATAAAAATAATAAATTTGGCTTATCTGATCTTAAAAAAGTGTAATGGTATTTTCAATGAATACATTTATATTGCATCGTTGATAAAATGTTATAATACAAATTAAGTGTTATTAGATTAAACATTTTGTTTTTGTAACTTTTAAAATGTTTGAAGTTTGTCAATTTAGATAAGAACAACAAAAATCTTTAATGGATCACGTAAAACTAATAATGACTTATCTCAATCAAAATATTTGGTGTATATTTCATAAATAATAACAAATTATATCTTAATTTAAAACATTGTGAGCAATTAATATAATTAATGTTATAATGTATAATTAATATCTAGTTATACAAGTTGAATTGAGGATATTCTACATAAATAATAATTATTTCTGCATATTTTAGATTCTGAGAGGACCTATGAATGTATTGATTTTACAGTGATGTGTGAGCGTGGTTTATCAAAATCTCGAAAACTTGAAAATTAAATTGTAGTTAAAAATGTATTAAATATTACATTTTTATAGCTATAAGGATTAAAATTTTAAAATAAGGAATATCATAAATAGTTCATACTACAGTAGACGCCGCTTATAAGACTTCGGCGTCTACTGTATAACCAAAAATCGAAAAAATGTATTATTACGGTTTTTTTTATAGACATTTTAAGTTATAATTTGGATGAAATTAGATATTTAAACGGAGAATATCGATTTTAGTCATTTTGTTGTAATTTAAAAATATTATTCATGGGTACCTACTTGAAACTTTTAAACTATATTATTATATTTTATACACAATGACATTTTAAAATGCAATTTTTTCAGCAAAAATTAATCCAACCGACTGTTGTACTAATGCCTAGTGTTTGAAGTATTTCACAAAAACGTGAAACATTGAAATTTTTTTTAACACAAATAAAAACACAATTTATTTATTTTTTAACACAATGTTCAGTGTTCTAAATTCTAATGTCAGAATTCAGTAAGTATACAATATACATGTATAATATTGTATACCTACTTGTATCATTTAAACATTAAAATATTTAAAAATTTTGAATACCAATTTATAATACCAAAGGTTATAGGTATACATACAGGTACCATATAGTGATGAAGGTAATTTATGACAATTATATGTAAATATAAAACTTATTTAAAAATAAAACAAAATATATTAAAATACTGAAATATTTCACGAAATATTTCATTTTTTTAAATTTCATGAAATTTTCAAACACTACTAATGCCTAATAGTAAAATAAGTTATCGAAACGAAGTTTTTTGTGGCACGATTCTGGGCTAGCCTGGAAAAACGTTCCTGACGAAATACTATAATTTATAATATATTAAACAGTTATTTTAGCCAAAACATCCAATTTTTATTCTGTCATAATGATCGATCTAGTAATGCGATAATAGGTACTTTTTAAAACCGATCTTAATTATGTCTACTTGAGATTGGTCAGTCCACTTTTCCTAATGTCACTCCCCCAACCTCTAAAAATTTATCTTGAATATTTTGAGATTTCGGAATTTAAATCAGGAATCTTAAAATGTGGACTGACCGATCTCAAATAGACATTCTAATGAATCAGATCAGTTTTTAAAATATTATCGCATTATTAGATCGATTGGTTGGATGGAACAAAAAAAAAAAAAAAAGCGGGAGAGGTAAGTTGTAGAGGCGGTCCGCGATAGATTGATTATAAATATCTTGAGTATATTGATAATATAATTATTGATAATACATCGCTACACTACGTATATTATGCATTTATAATTATTATAATTAATAAAATATATTATGTAATAAGTATATGATATAATATATATAAGTATTGAATTGTACGTAGGACGTAGGTAATATATTTTTTGTCACGCCTACACCGAAAGTTTGGTTTTCGATCGCGGTTGAAGCGTTGGAAACTAGCTTTATTGTAAGGATTTTTTCCAACTGTACAAATAAAATATATATTACAGTAATAAGTGGGGACTCTACACTAAATACATTATTTAAATTATATAAAAAAAACTTTACACGACAAATTGTCAAACTGATTTTATTATGAATTATTGAGTAAACAATTGGTTATTAAACATAATAATAATAATATTTTTAAACATTTATGGATGAAAATTATTTTTTAAAATTGTCTGTTTTTGGAATGCTTTTCCGCTTTATTATTTTCAATATCTTGTAAAACCCTTTTTAGACCTTGAGTTTGAGATGCTTCTGCGAACACTCCTTTGAACCAACTTTGTTCGCGTGCTTTAGGAGTATCTTTCACTCGGCGACATGTTTCATTAGTCCACGATAAAACCGCATTTCTTGGGTCCCATAAGGATAAAGGTGGCATGTTGAAATGAACAAATAAATATTCATTATCCGATAATTATTAATAATCGATAATAATTTTGGCAAAGTAATTTTTGTTGTATTTCTCAAGTGCACATATTCGCTAAGCCAACTGCACATTTTATATTTCCTAATGCACAATTAGTGTCCTACTGCACCTTACAATAAAGCCTGGTTGGAAAGCGACCTTTTCCCGTCTAGCGGGCCATAAAGTGGGAATGGGAATCCCCATAGTGCGGGGCGAAAAAGTGGAAACCCTCAAAAGTGCTGGGCGCGTATATCACGCGTATTCCATGCACAACCAGACAGTGAAATCTATACCACGGTCCTTACAAAGCATAAACTTTTGGTTATATCTTATATACATATTATAATATCCTTGCATGACGCCTAAAAATTTTTATTTCATGAAATTGTTTTCGTAAAACTATCTTATTGTTGCATAAATCTCTATATAGTGCTTTACCTTTGCCGTGATTAATTTTTTTTTTTGTGTCGCGTTTAGTATAGATTAGGTAATAGATAACGGGTATAACGCTATAGGATTTCAAACAGCGTAATAAGATCTGAACATTTTGCATTTATAATTATAACAATTTGGTGACTTTAACATCAATTTTAATGATAAGAAATCGGAAACTTTTAAAACTTTCCTTATGGACACATTCAACTTACATATGATAAACAATCCAGTCTACAAGACTACAACGAGAGATGACGCCACTATCGATGCAGTATTTTCAAGATATTTGTAAAAAATTACAGCACAAACATACTTATCATATTTCAGTTATCACAGGCCTGTAATTTCGATTGTTGAATATGATTAATATAATGGTAATTAAATAGTAAAAATAATAATTTTCATTTTCATTTATTTTTCACATTTACTTTTATTTTGAATGGTTCCACTAAAATGTATTTGTAATGTATAATATTTGTTGCAAAAGAAACTTCGTTTCTACCGGGTGTTCCATGACAGCACACACTTTTTAACCCCAATAATATCATAAAATATACTTAGTAATATTATAGACTGACAAACCATCTTCAATCAATAATCGTTTTGTATATAATGATTTTAAATAGCTTGAACAGAACGATAATAGTATAATACAATTCTATACAATTATATACCAATAGTTAAAAATAAGTACTTAAACCTCAATATATACATATATAGGTAATAGGTAGTAGGTACATTTTGACCTGTTTAAGAGTTAATTATTATCTGTACATTTATATGTTTTAGTTTGAAGCAAATCATTTTTGAAATTTTTCTAAAATGATTATTTTTTATGTTTTACGTTTTTATTAATGGCAACCTAGATAAAGAAGGTTCATGCAAATTATTTAATAATGATAAAATTGACTCTTAATTGAGAACTCTCACAGTCTAAATTTCTAATATTACATCTTCCTAAATACTGTGGCAGAATAACATTATGAAGTCATTCAATGTTTACCCAAGAATTTATTAGTCGGACTACTAGTTAAAATATGTGCTCGTGGTCTGTCCATTATACTGTCGTATTGTATTTATACATACATATCATTTAAAATATTTGAATCCAACAACCCGGCAGGTTCACGCTAAGTATAAAAAGAAATTAGTGCCTTGAAAAATGCACACATAGGCAATACAACACGAGAAAAGGTGGGCAAGTGGGTGTCGCTCTGCTGTACAGTAGGTTACAAGTGGGTCACTGTATAATGGATGGTATTAAATTTGAATTCAATGATATAATATCATTGTATAAGAAAAACGATTCTGCAGAGCGGTGACGGTATGTCAGTCTATGTATATAAGACATATTATATACATATCTATGGTATTAAACAAAAAATTGAATAATAATAGGTACCTATAATAAATTCCAAATTAATCATATCACAATATCCATTAGATACTTATAACGCGTTATACATCAACAAAAACCGTGATACTATCATAGATATATAATAGTACACTTTAGAAGTTTCAAGTACCCACAAATAATATTATTCAATCACAACAAAATAACTAAAATAGTTATTCTAGGTTTTTTAATATGTAATTTCGTCCAAATTTGAATTTAAAATGTCTGTAAAAAATAAGTGTGTTCATATATTTTTTAGATTTTTTGGTTATAGTATGAACTATTTATGAGAACCTTTGTGTTGAATTTGTAATCCTTAGCTATAAAAACTGAACATTTTATAGTTTATTAATTACAATGATTGATAATTTTCGAGATTTTGATAAATTTTGTCAAAATTTGATCTTTAAATGCTTATAAAAAAAAACTGTGCCTATGTATTTTTAATATTTTTCAACTGCTATTGTAACAATATATCAGGAGCCTTGTATTAAATTTTTACACTTTTTGGCCCAACAGATAAAACTTTATTGATATTTATAGAAAAAAAAACTAAAAAAATTGAAAGCTGTAAATGTCCATAAACAGCTCAAAAAGAGTCAAAATATTTTCAAAATTGTATGGTGTATAGAAAATGCTAATTTAAACATTCAGTGAAATTTTCGTGTATCTACAGTTGTTTGTTTTTGAATTGCAACAAAATAAGGAAATCGCTACATGAGTAATCGAGTGAAAATCCAATGTTGTAAAAATTTGAATTTCAAACGCAAAATAAAAATTTAATTTGATTGTCCGGTAGAGATTTTTTTATTGATAAAGGTAGATAATCTTATAAGGAATCTTGTGTTTCATTTTCAAATCTTAGATTAAAAAAGAAAAATTTTTACGAATTCTTAACTCAAAATAATTTGCTAATTGTCGTGATTTTTCCATATTTTTACAATTTTTGAACTTTAAATTCTTATAAAAAAAATTGTGACTAAGGATTTTTAATATTTTTCATCTGCCTTTGAAACAATATATTAGGAGCCTTCTATTAAATTTTCAAGCTTTCGCAACCAACAAATACAATTTTATTGATATTTTTAGAAAAAAAACTAAAAAAAAATGGAAAATGAAAATGTCCCTAAACAGTTCAAAATAAATCAAAATATTTTGAAAATGTTATCGTGTATAGAAAATGCAAATATAAACAACCAGTGAAAATTTCATGTATATACGTTCATTTGTTTTAGAGTTACACCAATAACCAAAATCGATTTTTTGGAAAACCAATTTTGCGTAAAAATTCCCGTTTTTCCTTAATTTTTATGTTGTTTTTCCCGGCGCTTGTGAAAACTACTGGGAAATTTATACTTTTGACCCCCCAAAGTACCAACTAGATTCACTTTCCTATCAGAAAAGCTACTGATGAAAAAAATCCAAGCACTTTTACTGTCCTAAAACGTGATGACAGACACAAAAAAAATTGACTATTAATATGAGTGATATCCCAACAAAAACACTCCGTGTAAATAAAATTTCAAAATACTATAGCATAATGCCATAATGAGTACAACATAATAATATAGTCTACTATAATCGAAATAGGTAGTGTATTAATCCAGTGTTTTAAAGTCACCAAGCTATTCAATATTCAATATATATTCAGTTAGGTAACATGAATTATAACTAAACTTCAAAGGCTTAGCTATATAAAATTATATCACAACTTTTAGAGATGGTTTTTTTTGTACTTAGCTTTTTTCTTACACAGAGTTTGGCGGGATGTTTTTGTTGGGATAAATAAATACAGTATACAAACAAAATTTAAAATACCAATAGCTATAAGTAATCAATTTTATGAGTTTAAATTTTACTATTTAATATTTATTTATACGTAAAGAATTTAATTTAAATCAATTAGTTAAAATTAAATTAAATTTTATGAAAATATAAGGGGAAAGTTGAACAACGTTATAATTGAATTCTGAAAATAATTTTTATCTAATAATTTTATATAAATATTTTGTTTAAACTTAAATAATTAACTTTTAAGTGATCTTACTTATTATGGCCATTTTGGATTCAGCGTGCACAGTTGTAAAGAACGGTGCTTCAGCAGATACTTCACACTTGTATTCGCCATTCATCAACAAATTAGCGTAGCGTAAGGTGACTTTTTTGCTGTCCGAGTAAATATGCTGCAAATCATAATTTTAAATATCGTGTAAGTACTCAGTTTATAGATTTAAATACAAATTATAACTTCTGATGACTTTAACGTACATTTTAAATTGTTGAATATTTAGTAAATTATTCATGAATAGTCGGCCCACGGACTTGTCAAATGTAATAATTAGTCATTTGTGTAATTTTAATTTAATTTAATTTGATAATTAAACGTCTTATCAGGAATTACCACAAAAATATTGACCAATAATATTATAGATTTATATGAATTAAAAATAAAAATGAGATAAGTTTAACAGTAATAAGCTAAACCCCATACAATCATAACTTACTAAAACTTATTCGAAATCAATAACAATTTATTGAAAAAAATTAATCAAAAGTCAGAAACAAATTACTAAACCCAAAATAACACAATTTTATTTTTCGGTAAAAATGATTATTTACTATTTTAGAATTCAAGTGCTATACATATAATGCGGTTAGGTACTAAGTGTATACTAACTATCAAATTATCATTATTAATATTGACACGACAACATTTAGGTATACGAATTTATCAAGTATTTGTGATTTACAAATAGGTAGTAATAAATATATTGTACATATATAATCGGAACATTATACTGAAAAACAAAGACGGTCAACGAAATAGTTTTATCGGTAATCGGTATAGTTGTAACAACCTGTCACGGGTTAATGTGTTGAATTACATTGCGATGTCATCAGCAGACGTTACGGTGTCAGAGTGGAGAGATGGCATCGTAATCACTTCTGCAGCAGCCCTCGTCATTTTAATATTATCACGTTGGATTCTATAGTTAGGTGGCGACTAATTACACAAGCTTTGACAATTAAATTGCGGTTTTAGCCAGTAATAATAGACAAATAGATACCTCAGCTAGCTTTAGCTTCAGTTGCACAGGACCAGCGTGTATTAAAATATATTGACAGTTACGAAACAAACATAAACGTCCGTAATTAATTATATAATTCCCTTGTGTCTGTGTTTTGTGCTATTCAAACCAAAACTGTATTTTAAAACCGAAAGAAAATCCCACTCAAAGAGTCAAAGGATACCTGATTGTTACGTATTTCATGATTAGAACCATTTTGTAATATATATATGTAAATTTAGCCATGATTAGACTCACACAAAATTCATTTATCATTATTGATTAATCATGTGAGGTAGGTAAACTTTTTCAGGTAGGTACAAATTCAAGACTTCCTTTCGTATTTTTAATAATAAGTTTAAAATGTTATAGCATAATACAATCACCAAAGTTGATCACCTAAACAGTTATTTACTGAGGTAAACAACATTTTAATACGTATTTTATATGGATTTCATAGGAGTAAATTCATAATATTGTAAAATATGCGATCAATGTTCACATATTATAATAATATATTTACTATAATAGACACATGCTTATATTATAATATAGACATTTTCTTGCAGACAATTTACACAATATTCAAACTCTAAATTATAATTGGTAGATTTTTTAACTTATGTATAATTAGCAACTTGAATTTTATCTTTTATCTTTTTATGGTTCATTGCCTCCTACCGTCCTACCTACTGTAGCCATAACAATAGCTCGATCAAAATATAAGGTACATGAGTGTCTAAGATAGATGAGTGATCAGTGGCGTAGCCAGGGGGGGGTTTTGGGTGTTTAAACACCCCCCATTGACATTTTCCTCCCTAATAAAAATATTGTTTATAGGGTTTGGGACTCCTCGCATTATTATAGATAAGTTATAAATTTCTCTTATGAAATTTTTTAAATGTCTAATCAAACAAAGTTTGAATTTGCATATTTTAGGAAAAGTGTACATTTGAGCGATTTTTCGCATATTTATGCATATTTTGCATTTTTCTAACTTAAATGTAGGTACATACAACTGTCGGGAAAAATCATATTTGGATAACATTGAAAAATATCTTTAAAAATATTATGTTTGGTGAGGTAAAATAGGCTCTAATTTTGAGATTTGAGGAGGCCGAAGCCTAAAACCATACCTACTATTATAAAATTGAATTAAAAAAATTTAGTAAATGATTGGGAGGGCTGTTAAAGTTGTTGATGGAGCTTGGCTATACGGTTTGCCCTATTTTCGGTATGTAAGATTTTATAAGTCTCTTTGTGACAAGACTGTGTTAGAAATATAATTGACATCTACATTCTAGATTGTACGAAGAAATGAAAATCAGTAGATATACGTGTTCATTTATTACAGTGTTCGCATATCACGTTATTCTTTATTACATATTTATTAACCTAGTATTTTATTCCAGTATTTTTTTAAATCAAGTTGTTTAATTTCACAATAGTTTAAAAATGTCCAAAACATGCAATAGTGTACTCCGTCCATCACATTAATCAATATAGGTACCTACCTATATTAAAATTAGTAAGCCCGTGTATAAATTATTTATATACCTACTTATTTTTTAGTTTTTTTATTACCAAAATTGTAGTATGTTTTATGAATTTTTCAAAAATAATATAAAAATGTAGCTGTATATATTTAAGAATATTTTGATAACTTTGACTGCATCATATTTCGATAATATTTAGTGCAACAAGTCAAGTCCCGAACCCTAAATTTATTTATGTACGAAAACTGTAAAAACTTAGTTTTAATCTATACTTAAACACCCCCCATTTCATAATCCTGGCTACGCCACTGTGAGTGATGCATACATTGTTTGTTTGTAATGGTGAACAATGAAAACAAACAAATTCTATCTCCTCAATATTCTATTTAATTCTTTTTAATCATTTCTTTAACTGGTAGAAATGCATATTGTATATTTCTATAAGTATGCTGATAATTCAATACTTCTCGGAAATTAATTACAGAAACTATTTTAACAATATAATTTAAAATTTGTATTACTATAGGTACTCAATATTAAATCATTATGAAATACATTTATCGAACTCAAATATATTTTTTGTAAATATACCTCCCATCGGGAAATTGACGAATGGGCAAATTGATTAGACTCTTTAATCTTTATGTACCCTACCATAAGTAAAATATATTATAAAAACATTTATTTTAATTGTTTGATCTTTTAGGTTTTTATACTTATGCAGTTATGCAAATAATATATGTATTTTAATTGTTGTCATACCACTGCTATGTTATCTTAATGTCGTTTCTTTTGTTCCTAAATATGTTTTGGTTAGATTATTTATTCTTTTAAGTTGCTAAGATAGCCTCAAATTATTTGTTCTATTTTAGTAAATAAAACTTATCAAAACTAAAACATTATATGTTTTTGTTATTTAAGTTATTAAATTTAATAAAATATTGATTTTGGCTTGTACCTATATGTGCTGCACCGTACAGGTACCTAACTGAAACTATTTACTATGTACAATGTACATCGTATATTTTAATATTAATATTATCTAACTATTATATAGGTACACAACTACACAAGTATAAGTTACCTTGGGCTATATCATAGGTTCTCAAACTTATTTCATCCACCGCCCACTTTGAGAATCAAAAATTTTCTAGCGCCCCCCCCCCCCAAAAAAAAAAAAATTTAACTTAGCATCTGTTATGTCTTTTAAAAATAGATATTACAATTTATAATATATAAATATGCTATATCTAATTTCTGAGTTCTAACATAAATTTTAAATTAGCTTTTTGGATGACAGCAATTAAAACGCATACTTTTTCATACTTAAAGTATTTTTATTAACACGAAACATTTATAATTAAAATTATTCACATTAAAATTATTTTTATTAAAATCATGCTAAAAAAGTTATGAATTCAAAATATAAAATTTACTTAATGTGATGGATGAACTTGATGTGCATTAACGAGTTTGTTAATATCTGGCTCAAATTTATTTAAAAACAGCCGTAAATCACCGCGTTCGGTAACAAGCAACCGATTTCTCTTTTTTATTAGCAGTGTTGCTACAGCACTGAATCCACGTTCAGACAAATACGATGATGGGAATGCTATCAGAAATAGCAATAGAAAATAGATACAATAGAAATAGTATTTTTTTTTTGATAAATATAGATTTACTATATTACATTTTGTATTAATATATGTATAAATATATAAATGAGACTTTTTTTAATATAATATAACTATAATATTTATGTATATAATTTCTTATATCGCCCCCTAAACCTAACTCAACGCCCCCAAAATTCCTTCGGGCATCCTACCGCCCCCCTGAAGACCACCAACGCCCACTAGGGGGCGCTATCGCCCACTTTGAGAATGACTGGGCTATATCAACTGTTTGATTCTCACAACCTCTGTTAAGTTAATTTAATTTTCTGCTATGCAGGATATTTGAAGGAATATTGAATATTCACTATATTCTTAATTTTTCAATATTTTACTCTTCTCTTCCTATTCTGAGTATACCTAAAATTTGATTTTTTTTCTTTGAAAACTCATTATTTTGATATAAGAATTATGTTGAAGGAAAATATAAGCCACACGCAATTTTGATATTTTGACTACCCATACGTTTCTTCCTTTTATTTATTGGTGAACCCATTATTAACTTTTGAATTTTAAACTTCAAATTTTACTATTTTTAATGTCATAATCTGATATATAAAATTTTTCTAAAAAAGTTGCAGCTGTACGTAAGTATAAAATATATTGATTATTAAACTAATAGTTTGTGTTTATTTTTTTTTTTATACATTACATTTTAAAATTTTAGATGAGCAGAGTTATAGACTACAAATTTCGTGGTGTAGGTAATCCACTTATTTCATCTAAAGTTTAGATTCTAAATTTTAAAAACATATTAGATTCTGAGTGGAACGATGAATGTATTGATTTTACAATGATGTGTGTATTTTTTTTTTTTTTTTAATTTTTAATTTTTTTTTGTGTCTGTCATCACCTTTTAGGACAGTAAAAGTGATTGGATTTTCTTCAACAGTATCTTTTCTGATAGGAAAGTGAATCTAGTTGATATTTTGGAGGGGTGAAAAGTAAAAACTTCCCAGTAGTTTTCAAAACGCAGGGAAAAACAAAAGAAAAATTAAGGAAAAACGGGAATTTTTACGCAAAATCTGTTTTCGAGAAAATCGATTTTGGTTTTTGGTGTAACTTTAAAACAAATGACCGTAGATAAGTGAAATTTTCACTGGTTGTTTATATTTGCATTTTATATACACGATAACATTTTCAAAATATTTTGATTTATTTTGAACTGTTTAGGGACATTTTCAGTTTCCAATTTTATTAGTTTTTTTTTTTATGAATATCAATAAAAATTTTTTAGTTGGTTAAAAAAGCTTGAAAATTTAATAGAGGGCTTCTAGTATATTGTTTTTAAGGCAGATGAAAAATATTAAAAATCGTTAGTCACAGTTTTTTTTTATAAGTATTTAAAGTCCAAAAATTGACAAAATATGGAAAAATCACGAAAATTATCAAATTATTTTGAGTTAAGAATTCGTAAAAATTTTTCTTTTTAAACCTAAGATTTTAAAATGGAATACAAGATTCCTTATAAGATTATCTACCTTTATCAAGAAATAAATGTCTATAAGAAAGTCAAATTAAATTTTTTGAAATACAAATTTTTACAACATTGGATATTCACTCGATTTCTCATGTATAGCGATTTCCTTATTTTGTTGTAATTCAAAAACGAATAACTGTAGATAGGTACATGAAAATTTCACTGAATGTTTACATTAGCATTTCCTATACACCATACAATTTTGAAAATATTTTGACTCTTTTTGAGCTGTTTACGGACATTTTCAGTTTTCAATTATTTTAGTTTTTTTTTCTATAAATATCAATAGGTATAGTTTTATCGGTTGGGCCAAAAAGTGTAAAAATTTAATACAAGGCTCCTGATATATTGTTACAATATCAGTTGAAAAATATTAAAAATACATAGGCACAATTTTTTTTTATAAGCATTTAAAGATCGAATTTTGACAAAATTTATCAAATTTAAAATTGAATAATTATTTTTTAGTTAAAAATGTATAAAATGTTCAACTTTTATATCTAAGGGTTGAAAATTTAAAACAAGATTCCACGTAAGTAGTTAATTCTGTTACCAAAAAATCTAAAAAATGCATACGCACAATTTTTATAGTCATTTTAAGTTCAAATTTGGATGAAATTACATAAAAAAAACCTAGAATAACTATTTTAGTTATTCGTAGTGATTGTATAATATTATTTGTGGGTATTTGAAATTTCTAAAGTACACTATGTCACTATTATATATCTATGATAGTATCAGGGTTTGTTATTGATGTATAACGCGTTATAAGTACCTAATGGATATTGTGATATGATTAATTTGGAATTTATTGAAGGTACCTATTATAGGTCAATTTTTTTTAATACCATAGATAAGTATATAATATGCCTTATAGCTAGACTGACATACCGTCTCCGCTCAGAATCGTTTTTCTTATACAATGATATTATATCATTGAATTCAAATTTAATACTATCCATTATACAGTGACCCTCTTGTAACCTACTGTACAGCAGAACGACACCTACTTGCCCACCTTTTTTTATATTATTTTTACGTGGAGTACAAATATGTAAAGCACTGAAAAAATGGTACAATAAGTTTTTTATAACGAAATTATAATAAAAGCTTGAGAAATCAGTAGGAATACTGACTTTGTGATTAATTTATAAAAATATAATTTTTCTCGTTTATATATTTTTAAACATTGAAAGGAATATCTTCACAAGGTACTACCTCCAGAAAAGATTTTCAATATGTGCAAAAGAGTAAAAATTGTCAATGATGCCATAAGACCATTAATACATTAATATGTTCTATTATAGTTGTATTATAGTTTCTATAACTGATTGTGGTTTTTCAGTTCAACATTTTATTGATTTGGGTTTTTATTTTAAGTACAACATTTTTGATGTATTAGTTTTAACTAATATTTGACTTACAAGTAAATATTAATACTAATAGTGATTTTGACTGTTAGTGATGAGATATTGAAAATTTATTTTAATACTTTTGTTATTATGATAATATTATTTAACTGTTGAAAGTAAAATTTATTATGTGTTATCCATTCATGAGTGTCTGACGCTAAACTGATCAATAGGTATGACTTTTTAAAATAAAAGTTATTCATTCTTACTCTTTTTTTAAATTAAAAACTGTGAATATTCAATAATAGTTCTGGTCATAATTTATTAGTGAAAGTATATTCATTCAATAACCAATAACCATAACAGCTATTATCGTTGGATATTATATAGGTACAATCTTAAAGGTTATATGAAATACTTACATCAACTGTGATTCCATCCATACTGAAACTGTGTTTGAGATTTGAAGATGTTGGAACGTACCGATAGAACTCTTCATTGTCCTTGTACCAAGTAACTGAGTACAATTTGTCCATTTGCATATCATAATCACAAAATAATTGTACAGAGTCTCCCATAAATATGTACGAAGGCACCTTAACACCAAGCATTTGAACGGCTTCACCAATTTCTAAATTACAAACAATTACAAATTAAGAACACAATTTTTATAATCATATGGTGACAATCCATAGTTTTTTATCTTTTGTATTTGGATAATAATAATCCATAGTAGTCTTATCTATAGTGGGGTACCTGTTTACATACAGTTTTAATGTTAAAGTTGTTTTTGAAAGCAAAACATTTTTTAAATCATTCAAGTAAAAAACATTGATACATATTTTTTTTTTCAAAGACTAATCTGTATAATAGGTAGGTATTTTGACAAACACTTATCTCTGAAAGTACATTTGTAGGTATAATAGAACGATTACTATGTGCGGGACTATTTTTAATTAAGTTAAAATAATTTTCTAATTTAATACTGAAGGGTCCCTATCTACTATTTTTAAGTAACTTAAGGAATCAAATAATATTTTTTTTCAACTAAATTAACTTTAAATAATTAAATATATTTAACAATATATTAAATAATAAATAGTAATAAATAGTTTTTCCTCATAAGACAATCGGAAACAAAAATATATACAACCATAATTGTGTATGTATTTATACATTAAATTTGTATTTTCAGGTAATTAACTATTCTTATTGCTCTCAGGTGCTCATTAAAATAATTATATTTAGACATATTACGGTGAATTTTCAAACTCTATTCTCAACAAAAATTGTTATTGACGCATTATACTACGTTTGGATATTTAATAAATGTAGGTATATTGAATAGTATAAAATAATTTATTACATATTTAATTACTTGCTGGTAAAATAAAATTGGTTCAGTAATAAATCTTAGAACTAATATAATATGAATAAGAACAATATGGTAATGTTTTAAAGAAAATATTCAACGGTACGTAATGTCTAAGGGTGAATTTCCCATACTAATATAATATTATGTTCATAGCATGGATTTTCTATATTAATTATTATATCGATATTTACTCATTAAAATTGATTGTTTGTTCATTTTCTTAATATAAAATGTATTTTGAATGATGAAATATTTGTTTTGTAATCCGGAGATAGGTACTAAATAAGTATCAAAAAAACATTTTTATATGTTTATAATTTAAATATTTATTGAGGATTAAATTTCATGATTCAATATTCTTATGGTTTTTCTGTTTTTAATATCACAAGTTATGTCAATTGATAGTTATAAATCATAACCTATGATTATGCGATTTAAATTTGAAACAATTTAACTTTTTTAATGAACGCATAATTACAATTTACGAAATACGTGTAATCTGAGATAATTTTGGTACAATATTTAAGTATCTATAGATTGTAATTAATTTTAATAATGTTTTGAAAGTTTTGATCCTTATGCTATAGGTATTATTATAATTTATAACTTATTTTAGTGTTATCCATCTATAATATGAACAATAAAAGTGGTTGTTATAAACTATAACATACACCATGATTTTTGTTTTGATCCATATATAATATGTTTTCTTACTGTAAGTCACTAAACAGTATTAACTTTAATAACATTTTAAAAATATGTATCGAAAATCATAAAACCAATGTGATTGTTAAAAGCATTAAATATAAACGAGTAAAGGAAAGGAATTAGGTCAGAAAACGGGAGCGATGATAGACTGTGGTAACCGCCAACTGGTGACCCGACTACCCTAGTATTAGTGATGGTGTCAGCTAATAAGATGGCGTTCATTACAGTATTACTGTACCTGCATGAATTAATAGAGGAACTTATCGAAATATTATTGAGAATTTATCAGCCTGCTTTTGCCAAAGAAGAGTGTTTACGAATTTTCTTGAGTCTTCTCATCATCTACAGTATGGGAATCAATATTCTTCTACATTGAAATTTAGGTTTTATTACTTAGTTATTCATATTTAATTGAATATAAAACGTACTTACGTACTTAAAAGTTAAAATTAAGTTCACAATTTTCGATATTGTCAAAATATTCGAAAGATAATGAGCTAAAATTGAGACTTCCAAATGTGAACTATACTACTCATATCGTTATTTTACGTTTAAATAACTAATTTTGTCAAAACTGTAATTTTTGAAATGTTTATAAGTAGCTTAAAAAGAGTCAATATATTTAAAAAAAATTATATATGCCTTGAAAATGTTAATATTTATAGTATAAATATGTATTTGGCATTTTAAATATCTAAGATTTCAAGTTTGACGCCTCAAAGTACCAACGAGTTACAGCTTTTTTACAAGAAAACACCCACAAAGTTTAAGATTGAAGCATTTTTATTGCTCTAAAAAGTGATGAGACACAACAAATTAAAAACACTCATCATTTTAAAACTAATACTTAACAATAAGGTGTGGTAAATAGTTTAATTAAAAATATGAAATAAAAGTACCTAGGTAGTAATCTACTAATCTACCCTTAACTATTATTCCCAAATATAATTTAATCCATCGAAGTTTAACACGAAAACATACGAATTTTTTTTGTTTTAAAGTTAGGTTAAGGCAGGATAATACATTATTATTATAGTTGATTCAATAAAAACCTAAAATTTAATTTTCTTAATATAATATATTATGGTATTATAGTAGCTATAATATTTTATTTATTGGTAACCCACATTACCAGAAAATGTTTTCAATAAAAAATAACAGAATTCGAGAGAAATATTAGAAATTTCAAATCAATACTGAAAAAAGTAATACCTAGGTAGTAGGTATAGATATTTTGTGATATGGAAGTAATTTGAAAATGGAAAATTTCAACTTGCACTAGAACTTTATTATTCTATTTGTGTATTATACAACAATATTTTTACGCATAAAAAGTAAACGGACAATAGTGATAGCTGAAATATCACCCTACACTACATAATACCAATTTAGTCCACAGGTCATACATAGAATTTCTCCTCAAAGTTTTAAAACAACACAACCATTGTTGTAAACTGAGTTTGGTTCAGATTTTTTTTCAAATCGGATAAGTCACTTTAAAATTTAACATGACACACGCTTTTCTATGGCTTGCCAAAACGGTGGCCTGGAATGTGATGGTGTATTGTACTTCTTACATTTTTAAAATGTATCACTCCATCAATTTAAGTTATTAAATAATTAAATTATAATTAAGTTGACAAATATTGAAGCCTTATTAAAAGGTATAAAGTATAAAATAAAATGACTAACTATTTATTTAGAATACGTAGAATCGATTTTAAGGATTTGGTTTAATTTCGTAGATGCATATTTCAGTTTAGATTTAGTATAGATATTTTTTGATTAATGAATAATAAAAATTTACATTTATCTATAATAATAAGATTTAAATAATAAATGTGAATGCTGTATAAACAAAAGGATCTAGGAAGCAAGTACTCAGGTATAATTATTAATTATAAAAAAAAGCTTAAATTAATTTATCAAAAGATATTTTGTTAATTTAGAAATTATAATATTTTTGTTGATATTACTTTGATATTTTTGGTTATAATAATACAAGGTTCTGGATGTTTGCCAAATTCTAGTAATTTTAGATTAGTTTTTCTAGTTTTAGTCCTCTATTAATATTAATTTTTAAAATTTTTATTCTCTTTTGTATGAGGGTAGGTAATTGATAATTTTCTGATTGACTATTTTAAATTCAACATTCGTACGTTGAGTCGTGCACGGAATACTATATGTATGGTTTTCCAAAACCTTATGTGAATATATCAGAAAATATGAATTAATCCAACAATTTATTTTCCGTTAAAATAAGAAGCATTTTGTTGATATAAAATTTTAAACTTTAATTTTGATTGGATCCTAATTTCGGAGCTAACCCATATTTATATATATTTAATTAATAGACACACATAACAAGTAAAATATTCGAAAGAGATTAAATTATATTTAAATTAATTTTAGAGACAATAGTTATTTGCTACACATTTTAGTTTTTACTTACCGCAAGGATCTATGATCAAAAACAGTAATGCCATCACAACAGATGTAGGTCTTGTGGTTGATTTACATTCACCCATCTTCAAATTAGGCTTAAAATGAATCACGGTGTTTTTATTCTTTCCATCTCATTTTCTGTAAAATGGAATAATAAAAATAATAAGATACTTATTAAATGATACTTTAGAAAAGCTTACTTTAACAAATAATGCAATTATTCGACGTATGCTAATACTTTATTTAGACAGCATTTTATATACAATTATTATTGTTTATTTATCATACATTAATTTTAAATACATTCAGTATCCTGCATTTATTTTTCTATAAATTTAAAACTCATATTTTACTCTTAAAATGTAATATATAATATTATTTTAGGATTCAAAGTATTTCATTTCGAGAGGAATCAAATAATGCATTGGTTCTTTCCACGACGTTATTTAAATTTAAATTAATCTTATCTCGAGTACACTTTTTGGGGTAGAAGATATACCCTAACGATTTCAAGTACAACTCTAAATCGATTGCAATTTAAGTTTAGATGATCCTTCGAATATTGAATATTTCTATAAGTGTGAAGAAAAAAGAGGACTGAGGAGTGTTATTGACGACATTACATACCGAACGTTGATGCAGTAAGCGAGTTCCGTTCCGAATTGTTTTTAAATGTGACGATTTATAATTTTTTTTAAATTTAACATTACGATATCAATGTTACGAACGTCTAGGTAATAAAAATCTAGTTTTTGTAAATTAAAAAAAATCTTAAAATGTAGGTATTGAGATTTCATAAATATGAGTATTTTAAGTTCAAAAGCGTGAGCACGGGGGATGAGCGGTGTGCTGACTGACATTTTGTAATCAGGGCCCTAAAATTTAAATCCTATAATAAGCGAGCCAAATTTTATCTGATTATACATTTAAAATGTAATTTTTGTTAAAATATTATGTGATAAAAAAAATGTTACATGATATTATTTATATAAAAAAATATAACGTGCAACATTTTTTAAATTTGCGTGTAAAAACCTATTATCATATTATAATGGTTAAAAGTTGACTATAAAGTCTAAAAATCATAAATAAAAATAAAATATATTTTGGAGATAGACTTAGGTAATATTTGTTGGTAGTTGGGACTTATTAATTCTGTTAAATATTATGTGATATTCATATTATGTGATATTCTACTAAATTTCGCGATACAATAAACGACCATCGGTATCCGGTATAATACACCATACGGGTCTTGGGGTTAAATTGTAATTGATTTGGATAATTAGCGTTTTTGTTGTTTGTTACAAGCATGAAATTAATAATCATTTTGACGATTTTACTATAATCAACAACACTGTACGTCTACCAGCATTAGTAACTTATATATTAATAGACAGGAAAAAATTAGTATTTAATATGTATTCATTATAAATATATTGAATATTTTTAATGTCTAGAATGATTCAGTGCATGCAATTAGGTCAAACTAATAAATTATTAAATATTTAAAAAGTTAATATTTTTAAAATCGAATAATATTTTTTAATTTTGTGAATAATATAAGAAATTGTTAACAATTATTATTCTATAACTTGACCTGTATGTCGTGTTCATATATAGTTTCACAATAATTTTAATAGTATCGACACCAGACTAAAATCGTACTTAGTAGTTAAGCAACGATTATACGCAGTTGAGCCCTTAATACGAATAAAAAATATTTTAATTTACTTTTTAAATAGGTATACCAATTCATATTTTGTATTCATAGTATAATAATTGTTTATTTTGTCTATCCTTGACTACAATACAAAATAAACTTACTTATTTCGAACAAGAATTACATTTCTTTGTTTCAACATCTTCAAATGATTAAATTTTAGTTCCCGAAACAATCCTAATCCTCTACTTGCTCTCCTTTTGGCTTTTCTCTCCCATTTAAAACCTACCTGCAAACGAAAATGTCAAGTGTGCAGACTGCAGATCTCTCTCGAATAACATAGGAATATGGTTAATTCACAAATAGTTTACATACACATTTTTTTTTATTATCAGTAAAGATGTTGCTTCTTTTCATATATCACCTAAGTTTGGGGACAGTAAATAAACTATGTTTACCTACTATATTAACAACTCGATGTAAATACTGTATATGATTGTTGATAACTCTGAACTCATTGATTACAAATTATGACTTTCTAAAATAATTTGAACATAAGTTATAATGCTCAAGTCAGAATGTCTCAAATTCTATATTTTTAAAGTGTAAGAATCTAAATAGTTGGATTTTTAAGAGGCTAATTTGTCAATGTAGGTTACATTAATCGTTATTAATCAGCGCAGACAGGTATGCGAATTCAATATTTATAATAATAATAATGAAACATTTTAATGTAGTCTGTGTATCCTGGAAGACTTTTTTTCAAGAAATTGATAGGCTAAACTAATACTTGGATTTTATAGATACCAACCTATTTAAAATAAGTTTAAGTTAGTTTTGTATGATAGATATGCTCCATTGCTTTCAGGTAGTTCTCCAAAGAATTTATTCCTATATTTAAATAAATACGCATTTATTATAGTTAGGTAAACGTAGTAGATATAAATGTAAATTATTATTTAAGTATATTATACATTTATACACCTATAAACATTAAACGAATACAAATAATTATAATAATAAAAGCATAAATTACTCAATTCAATTTTGTATAGTTCAAGTTTTAAGAAAAAAGATCATGACACATATAAATACATAGCCCATTAACTTTCAATCTATGTAATTATTTCCCTAGTAATAATCCATTCAAAAATATCATAAAGTCTCGAGTATTCCTCTAATTTTGAATGCATGAACGATTTATCATCAGTATTAAACCACGCCTATGGTCGGTTTGAATATAGGTGTAAGGTGTCGGTTCGACTTAATATTAGGTGAAATACCTCCAATAAATTACTGGGGTTAGCCAAATTACCCCTCGTCGTGCACGAGAAATGATTTCCTTCTACTTTTTTTTCTCTTTTCATTGTTTAGAAGGAAAGTCTGCCTTAAATTTCCACCCGTCGGCCATTGGCTATATAGGTGCAATAGTGAAAGGGTGTACGAACACCATACTTACTGGCACGCGACCGGTGAAATGCATAATAGCCGTTGTTTTTAATGACTTCACATCTACGCGACTCTTGTTTTTGCCAATCTCTCCCACCCCTTTCCACAACTTTCCTGGTAACCTAATGTCCTACGACCATAAACACGAACGTCACCTTTACCGCTTTAAACAATAGGCCGTTTTCGTTCATATTTTTTATACTTCAATGGCAATTCACTAAAATGGTACCTACTAATATAACATTGTAAAACACGATACCTATTATTTAATGTTTAATTTTAAGTGATATTTCTGTTGAGAGCAGGAAAATATATATGACTTTTTGATAAACTTTAGGTTGGTTAAAAAATGTAATCGGTATTTGTTTCGACTTTAGGTAATTTCAACAAATTACAAATATTACGTGGCTATTTTTTAGGACAATAATTTTAGTGATTTTGTATGCATTCCAAAATCTTTGTATACATTTGTATAGTACCAAGTTTACACGTACACATTTTGCAAATTCTCAGTTGTTTTTGAATTTGAAAATATAAATTAATTATCGTCCTTTTTTTTTTCTTCAATATTTAAATTTTAAATAATTAAGTGTTTTAAAAAAGTACTCCATCTAAAATTAAATTTTAATTGTATAATACGTTTACTGTATCATAATTATTAAATCATATTATTGGAATAATATATTGGAATTATAACTAATAGATAATTTAACGATTTCGTTTTATTGTCTTCATTATGTTTACAACTTTGATTTTTTTTTTTTGTAGAGGGTAGGTTAGAAAGGGTAAAATCGATTAAAATGTAATAATTAATTAAAAATTAGTTGTAGGTTAGCTGTAATTATTTTGCTCAGATTAATGATTAAATTATAATTTATAATTTATGCTATTAAAAATTAATTGAAATCGATAGGTACATTGAATCTATTTTTACTTATTTTTTAATCAACTTTTATTTAAAATAACTTCTATTTTTTTTCAAATTTATCAAAAGTACATATTAGTACATTACATACTTTTATATTTGGTAAATATAAGTACGTTTAACCAAAGTTTGTAGTTTTTTTTATTATACATTTGTCAAAATATTTTTATAAATTGTAATTATGTTTTAATAGCATAGTCTTGTTAAGAACGCTTGTAATGTAAAATGTATTCAGAATACGTATTTACAAATACCTTTTAAAAGTATTCAAAGTACTTACACAAATACTTTTTTTTTTAAGTTCAATAAATGAATAATTAATAATCAATAATTCTATCAATTCAATGACTAGTCGACTAACCACTTCTACCCACGCCACAAAGTACTATTATTTAATAGTTTCTTTAATCAAGGCAACCAATACCGTATGTATCCCAAAATCTATTGTGCTTATTGTAAAAATATTTTATTCAGATTGTACAATTAAAATAAATATGGGGAAAAAAAAGTTCCATAACATTAATATCAATATCTTATATCCAAATTATAAACTACTACCACGGTACCACCCATTAAATAAGAAGAAAGTCTATTTAAAGATTCAAGATAAATGCCAATCCAACGAGTAGTGGTCAGTGTCTTGTATGCCATGGTGTAATATGGGAGTGAGGAGCCAACGGGGGTTTCAGCTTTCAGTCATTCTGTTATCTGCTTGTTTTTTGGCGAAACCTTATTTATAAATTATCAGAAGTTAAAACCACATTTAAAATAATATTGTGGAAACAAAATTTAAAATAGTCCATTCCGAAATATTAGTAATTGGAATTTGGAGTAGACCACGAGAATGAAAAAAAGTATTTAGTATTCTAGAATAAAAATACAAATAAAAAGTATTTGAAATATAAGTTTTCGAATAGGTAGGTACTTACAAGACTGTTTGATAGTTAAAATCTAATATATAATAGTGAATGTTTGTTTGTTTCTTCGTCCTCTATAACAGGCTAATATGATATATATCTAAAAATACTTGACTATAAACCATGATT